ATCCCATAAAATACATCTTTGAGAAACCTGCTCTCACTGAACGAGTTGCTCGCTGGCAGATGGCACTAACAGAATACGACATTTAATATGCCTAAACTTAAAGATGAGTGTTGAAATGCAAAAGTTGTATGAATGAAAGCGTCATAAACATAAATGTAACGAGAAACTTATCAAGAAAAAATTGGTTAAGCTTTTAAACAAATGTAATCATCAGGGATGAAATAAACATGATTATGATCAAGCATGGTATATTAACATGTGAGTAAGCATCACACAAGTAGACATGTTCATCATGGTGAGAGTTTATGAAAGCAATACTTGAATATGTGAGCAAATATTTGATCAATAAAAGCAATCACAAATAAGTTCAAGCAAGCGATATATTTAAGATGGATCAAGGGTCAGATAAATATAGCCAAGGGTGAATGAAACCCTAATGGAAATTTATGAAGGTGAGCATATGAACAAGACATTCAATCATGGTTGAATCAAATTTAAAAGGGAAAGTAAACTCAAGTGGAAGCCCTACTCATGCATCAAGATGTTTTCAAAAGATTAGTTGACCAAAACCATAAGGCTTCAACTAAATATTAAAGTATTTTTCAAAAGAAACAAATACTTAATCATGGTATATTAATGGTGTATAAGTTAAGACAACATGTTAAAATATTAGTCAAGCTTAACACAAGACACATTATAGCCACACAAGCATTCATGGTCAATTTGGTCAAGAAAATAAGCAAATAATGTCATTTTGAAAGCACAAAAACATTTAAAAAGGACTAGTTTTTAACCTAATAAAAGTGACAAATTGGGATTTTTTGATGGGTTCTAAAAATAGGGAAGATAAATGAGAAGTGTGCAAAACAATTATTAAAAATTAATGATTTTTTCATAGTGAAATAATTGAATCCAATTGTGAAAAGAGCATAAAAATAAGTAATAAAAAAATTAGGGAATGACACTCCCACAAGTGTTGATCCTGCGCCCTTGAGGTGATGGGCTCAAAACTTTACCAATGGGCCATTGCACGCGTGGAGAACAAAGAATGCGTGCATAACATAATATATAAAGTTGTGTTTGAGAATTCTAAAAAAACCAAAAAGTATCGAGCGAGGGGATTCGAACCCCAAACCTTGCATACAAACATACTCCAAACCTAGCCCTTAACATTATGGAACAATGCTCAATTCGTTAGTAACTTGCAACGAAATAATAATATATTAAAAATTCATTTAATATTAGAAAATGGAGTCATGGCCATTATCATCTTCTTCTAATTTTAAATTTCTAAATTCTTAATTTCTCAACCAAATTAAAAGATGTAAACACCAAAGTTGTTGGAAATTTTACCAGGACTTGAATGGTATCAACCAATTTCATTTATATTCAATGTAAATTTAAAATAACACACATGAATAGATAAACCCTAAAACTGGAAAAATCAATATGAAATCTTGTATGCTATAGTTTGTATACAATTAATATGAGGAAAATGATCCATACATCCTAACAAGTAGATTCATAACTTATGAAATAAAAAATGATGCATGAATCATAAGCATCAGTTTTTGAAAACTTAACTTGCAAGTGAAGATCGAATTATTTTGTAGAGGTAATACAATTGCAATTTCTTAATGCTAATAGCTTCCTTGACCTCCAAGGGGTGTGCTGCAATGCTTATAATGAATTGAAACCTTCTAGAACTATCAGCTCGAATCAATTTGTAGCTTGATGCAAGTGGAATATGGACTTGGTGATTCTGATGTTAAAGTTGGTGTAAGAGTATGTGGATCACTTCAACATGATGTATGTTAAGTGTTTGGATGCTTGGAATGATTGGAAATGGCCTTGAATTGAGAATTCAAGTTTTCACTTCTTTGAAACATGGAATTTTGGAAAAGAGGAGGATTTGGAGAAAAGAAGTTTCTTCCAATGTGTTAGTATGATCAAAATGATCAAATTGAACCCTATATATAGGAAAACATTTCAAATATTTGTGACAAATTTTGGATTAGGATACATACTATTAACCAAAGAGTAATGACGTGTACCTGTTACTTGAGTGCTAAGGTACACATAGGCCATTCATCATATGACTCAAATTCTAATGTTTTGAGCTTGACTCTATCTTATTGCATCTTGATATTTGGTGTTTTGATCATTCTTTTATAGATTGTGGTGGTTTTTGGTCAATTCACTATTACACTTAAATGCTAGAGGACAAAATTTAAGTTCCTAACTTTTTGGAATGATTTTTCACATGCAAAGGGATAGAATTTTAGAAATTACGTTGTGATCTTACAGAGCACATGGTGTATTATGATTTTGATGTTTATCTTGTGAAGAAATGAGGATCGGAAAGTGATCAAAACTCACTCCAAAAATCGTGTAGTATCATTATGTAGAAAATTTGTCTTGAGAATTCAGTTGCAACAGGGCTCAATGTAAATTCCATAACTTCTTGTTCAACTAAGATAAATTGATGTTCTTGGTTATTTTGGAAAGCTAAGATAACATACTTCAAGTTTGGTGTTCAAGGTTTGTCTTGAATCAATGTGGATACTTGTGAAAAATAACCCTAAAGTTGGCTCCTTTTACAAGGCAAATTTATATAAAAAAATTTCTAAGTGTCTAGGTTTCAATAGTGATGAATCTCCAACTTCATGGCTACATATCTCTCATTCTATGCATTTTTTTTAGAAATTCATCCTCAAGTACAAAGTTGTAGTATGTAACAAGCTCTTCAATTTGGTCTTTGGAGCAAATAAAATGATTACTTGGATTGGAAGTTATGACCTTGACAAGATGAGCAAAAATCATTGTATTTCATGACTTATATTATGGCCTTGCATATAAATCAAGGTTTCAGAGGAGGAGATGAGAAGGATGAGGAAGAAGATAATTAAATTTGTTGAAATATGAAACTTATGTTTTTAAATTTTATTTTCATTTCATCTTTAATTATGAATTATTTTTATTCTAGTGGATATATATATATATATATATATATATATATATATATATATATATATATATATATATATATATATATATATATATATATATATATATATATATATATATATATATATATATATATATATATATATATATATATATATATATATATATATATATATATATATATATATATATATATATATATATATATATATATATATATATATATATATATATATATATATATGTGTGTGTGTGTGTGTGTGTGTGTATATATACACATACATACATATATATATATATATATATATATATATATATATATATATATATATATATATATATATATATATATATATATATATATATATATATATATATATATATATATATATATATATATATATATATATATATATATATATATATATATATATATATATATATTTATTTATTTATTTATATATATATTATTTTCTAATTTTATTTTACAAAATTTTAAAAAAATAAAAATTTATTATAATTGTATTATAATTATAATAATTTTTATATGATATTATAAATATTAGGTATGGGTTAATCCTCACACAACTAATTACCAATTTGCGTGAGATTAATCACGTCACAAATTTCAAAGCATTATTGCGTTTGCTAGCAGGTTAGCTTAAAGCAAATGTCGACACACGCGCTAAGAGTTTTCCCCCTAACAAAAAACAAAATATAGACGCATTTGTTAGGGGCTTATCCTCTATCAAAATAGTGACAGGACTGTGCCACTAGTTTGCTCTTGCAGTTCAATAGGATGTTATTTTTTGAGTGTCTTATCCTCTAGCTAATTTTGCAAGGGTTTTAGAATGATAAATGTGTGAAGAATAAATTAAAAAATTATATTGATTTTTATTATAAATATTTAAATGATTTTTAAAAAAAATAAGTCATTATGGTAAAATAAAATAAAAATAAAAATTATCATTAGTGTGTTTTTTTTTTATTTTGAAATTTGGACTTTAAATAAATACAACTTTAAATTGGATTCCTTTTGAGAAAATTTACTAAAATTGTTAAAAATACCAAAAGTATATTCATATTTTTAAAAAAAAATTAACTATTTGAACAAATTTTAATTCCGTGTGATTTGGGCGGTTAGGGTCATGATTCCTGTGTGATTTGGTGTCTCACTTAAGCTATTCTATTTTATCTTACTAACGAATATTTTAAGTTATCGACACTTTCATGAATTAATGATTGGACTTTAATATCTTTGGACCTGTGTCTGTTTGGAACCCAGTAAAATGCATTTAGTGATAAATTCAAACTCAAACTTTTATATAAAATATTCTCAAAATCAAGTCAACAACATCATATCGAGTACCATTTAAGCTTTAAATTAATTACCATATAGTAAGGATGCTGTAAAACAATACTCATTAGGGTCATATGCTTGATTTATAATTAAATTAAATATTTTTGACCAAATATTATTCATTTTTACCAAATGTAATTCATCAATTTTATGGCATTTGAATAAAAAGAATGCAAAGTTACTAAAAAAAAAGTTATAAGCTAAGAGAATCTAAATTGCCAAATAACTAAATTAGTTATATTCGATATAAGTTAACAATTTGATCAATATTGTCCAACAAAATATGAATAAGATTCTATGCATCATATTTAATAATAGTTTATAAAGGAAATCTTTATTATATAATACTAATTATTGAGATCCGCCGTCTATTTTTCAATTCCTTCTCAACATAATCTGATTTTTATTTTGCCTAGCTAAGAATATTGATTCATTTGTAAAAAAATATGTATAATTCATCAATTTTATCTAAAAACCTTAGTTATTTTGTTCAATTACCTAAAAGTTTAAATGTGATTTTTTTTCTATATATAACGTTAAAATTGTGTAAGCCACACTTTTGTTCTATTTGATGCTACATCCACATCTCTATATATTGTAATAATTCTTTCTCCATTTTTCACATCGCAACAATATTATCGTATATATTATTATATTAGTGTATTCCTATAATATGAAGGGTTTATTATTTGTTTTTCTAATACTTGTTATTGCTTCACATAGTTTATGTGCTAGAATAACACCTAAAGCTGATGATGAATGGATTACTTTTGATGTTACTAATACTAAATATGGTGCTATTGGAGATGACAATACTGATGATTCAGAAGTATATTTTTATTATTTTTATATATTGTCTTCATGATATTATTGTTGTAGTATAAAGAAGATTTAAATATGTTTTAAATTATTTGACACTAGGCTTTTATAAAAGCATGGCAAGATGTGTGTGGGAGTCAAGTTACCCCAACACTTATCATACCAAACAACATTCTTCTTACAACCTTTAATATTCCAAGGTCCATGCAAATGTGCAACAATTAAAGTTTGGGTACTCCTTCTTTAGTTTAAATATTTTTCAATTCTAACCTTAATATGTTTGATATATAAAATGCTGAATGTGTACTTTTTGGTCGATAGCTTGGAGGAACTATCATTGCCCCAAAAAACATGGAGGATTGGAAATGGGCAGAAGATAAAGAGCTAGCATGGATTAGATTTGAAGACATATCTGGTCTTACTGTCAATGGTGGAGGACAAATTAATGGCCAAGGTGCTCCATGGTGGAAAGAGTATCCTGATAATGAAAGTAAAAGGCCTTCTGTAAGTCTATTCATATGATAACTAGTACTTTAGTTTGTCTAAATTAATTTAACTACTTTGAAGTATTTAAGCATTTAATTACTTTATAATATTCTTATGCAGACTATTGAAGGTGAGAAAGTTACTTAGAAGGGGGGGGGGGGTTGAATAAGTAAGACTAAAAATCAAAGATAAGAACACAGATATTTTTATCCTGGTTCGTTGAAAACAACTACTCCAGTCCACCCTCTCAAGAGTGATTTGCCTTTCTCTGTCAAGGACTTAATCCATTATTTAAATCAAATAGATTACAAATAGCAACACCTAACAACAACTGTTCTTAGTCTTCTAAAGAGCAACTGATCCCAACTGGATCCTCTTAAGGAAAACCTTTTACAAACAATGTAAAACTTTTACAAGAGTAAGAATGCTTCTATTAAGCTGTTATCACAACTGTGATATTTCTCTTAAGTTAAGAACAAAGTTAAAGCAAAATAATATAATTAAGAGCTTTGAAAGATTTGCTTTGATGAGTGATTTTGCTAGAGATTCGATGCTGAAGAAGATGGAGTGGACTTCTTTATATAGGCACTAAGATCCAAGAAGTCTTGTTACGTTGAAGGCTGTGCAGAAAAGCTTGAAGCCTTTTGTCTTCACATTGGAGGCTGTGCTGAAACAAGCCTGATGCCTTTTGTCTTCACTTGCAGAAAACTTTCCTCAGAATGGAATGCACAGATAAAACCTTTTTGTCTGTGTCCTTGTGTCTAGCACAAAATAGGAAAGAGCTGTTGAGATAAACCAACGTACATATTTAAATCTTCTTCAAAGTAAGTTCAGCTTTCAACATTAGAATCTGAATCTTCAGAGTCTCTAGAATAGAGATCTTCTGGATCTTCAGAGTCTTGGATGTTCTTCAGATTGAGCTGAATCAGAGTATGTGTAGCTTGTGTGCTTGAGCGTGTAAATCTATCAGAGCAGAGTCTTCTATGCTTTAGAGGCTCATGCTTCAGAATCTTCAAGAGACAGTAGTCAAATTCTTCTGGGAGCAGTGTTCAGATCTTCACTTAAGATGCTCTTGAACTTATGAAGCCTTTCATAATAACAATGTTCAGATCCAAATTTGCTTTCTTAAGATAATTTTATTTAGTGCCTGTAGCAAACAATCTAGAACACGTTTAGAGTATATAATTCTTGACTACAAAATTTATAAGTGTTATCATCAAAACATAGAGATATAACTAAGACACAATCTGTGCTCTTACAATCTCCCCCTTTTTGATGATGACAAAACATGAGAAATTTTGTTCAATAAAGAGTAAGAATTAGAAACTCCCCCTGAGATTAACAATCTCCCCCTGAAATAACTACTTCAATAGAATAGAATACTTCCCTTTCTGATTAAGTATATTTCAGATTCAGAGCCTGATGAAAGAGTTCAGAGTCAAATCTTGATGCCAGATACATATGACTTCCTTCAGTCAGAACGTCTGGTTATCATCTTGCATGAATTCTCTTTCAGAATAAATGTATCAGAGTAAGATATCAGAGTTATCAGAATTGATTGACTACTCAGATTTTCTTTAGAGGATCAGGTATATCAATGTAATCTGGTTGGCACAGTCTCAGGGTAACTTCAAAGAATTATGTCAGATATATCAATGTAATTTGGAAGACTTAAATTCAAAGTAAGTTAATAAAATGTTTGAATTTCAGTTGTAGTAATTGCTTATAGGTTGAACACTCAGTTTCTCTTTTTCTCCCCCTTTTTGTCATAATCAAAAAGATTTTCAAAGACAGAAAGATATAGAAGAAAAGAATCATATAGGAGCAAAACATGTTATCATGCAATTAAAACAAACCAAAGTTCACAGTCAAACAGGCATATGCCAAAACACATAACACAACAAAAAACAAACAGACAGCAAAAGCAGTTCAAGTGCAAAACAACAAATAAAACTAGGTCTGGCGAGAGGCAATAAGGGTCAGAAGCTCTGTCATCTTGGCAGCTGACTCTTCTTGCTTAGACATCCAGGTCTTGATTTCATCAGTTGTTTTCTCTTGCTTGATCATCCAGTCCTTTATATCCTTCACATCATTCACAAGTTCTGAAACCACAGATGAAGACGGAGCAGATGCAGTAGCAGCAGGGTTCCCTTCAGTTTGGTTTTCAACAGAAGCTTGTTCAACCATTTCAGATTCAGGAACTACTGGAGGAGCAGCTTCCAAAAGTAATACAGGAGGAGGAGGAGGCATGTTCATCAGAGTTACCTTGATTAATTCTGCAAATTTAGTCTTAGCAAGCTTAGAGCATTTAGCTCTAACTTTTAAGGCAGCTTTGTTGAACATCCAGATGAAGCGCTTCCAAGCAGTATACGAAACAGTGGGATCCAAACTAGACATGCATACAGCCTTAACACGATCATATTCAGAATCTAACTCCTTTTTGAAAATATCAAACATAGCATTAACACATGATCCTAGATCTGACTGTTCAGACTGTCCAGAGGAAAAAGGATTAGGGGTGTTAACAGGAGTAGGTTCAGATGGTTGTGGTTGAGGTGATGGTGGTTGAGATGTGTGGATGTCAGATTGAGGGAGTTCAGATGGTTGAGGAAAAGCCTGATTTTCAGAGGGATTAGTTTCAGGTGGTTGAGGAATGGTTTGGTTTTCAGATGTTTGAGTGTCAGATGGTTGAGTTTCAGATGGTTGTTGATGAGATGGAGAGTTTGGTGGGGTATGAAACAAGGCAATGTTAAGATGTTTCTTCATAACACTTTCAGAGCGAGCTTGTTTGAGTGATTCTGAATCACAGTCAGATGAATCAGATGAATCAGAAGATTCATCTGAGTGAACAGATGTTGAAGAAATTATAATTGTTTGGTTGAGGGGTTGAATATCAAGAATATTGTCAGAAAGATTTGGATCTTCTGAGGGAATTGTTTGTTCAGAGTGTTCAGTTTGAACAGTCTCTGGTTGGTTTTGTTCTGAAATAATTGTTTCTGGTTGGAGAGTCTCTAATTAGGGATTCTCTGGTTGTGACAAAGTTGGTTGTGGAGTTACTGTTGGAGAGTTTTCTGATTGAGTTGGTTCTGGTGGTGGAATTTCTGTTTGAATTGTTTGAGGTTGTGGTTCAGATGGAATTGGTATAGGAGATGATTGTAAATTTACTGGTTCAGAGGGGAGTGGTTCAGATGAGATATTGGCAGACTGTTTGGATTTGGAAGTTCTTTGTATAAGGCTTGGAGAGAGTTGTGGTGAAGACAGGGGTGAATGAACAGTAGGAGTAGGATCAGATGCTAATACCTGTTGAATGGTGTCTCTGATCTCTTCCAGAGTAGCTTCTCTAGGACTGATTCTGGCCTTCTTTCCTTCTTTCTTCTTCTTTCTTGAAGCTTCAGATGCTTTTCTCTTCTTCTGAACGGATCCTTCGTCAGCCTTCCTCTTACTTCGCCTTTCCTTCATCTGATTTGGCAATTCTTCTCCTGGCTTCTGAACGAGATTGGCAGGTAAAGGAATTCCTTCCTTTAGACATTCAGTAATGTACATCCAGACAAATTCCTTTGGTTCATCTGCACTGAATAGTGGAAAGTCTTCCACAGGAATTCTTCTGCCTTGAACCTCTTCAGAGTTGATCTTCCTAAGTTGTCCTTTCAATTCTGAAATGATTTTCATCCTTTTCAGATTGAGTCCATTTATTTCAGAGCCAATGATGTAAGTCAGATCTTCTGTAATCTTCGCATCTGTTAGATGCTGTACCAGCTTGTTCTCAATAAGGATGTCTGAAATCAACCTTCCCAGGGGTATCCACGTCCTAACTTTACCAGCCTTAGCTCTTACTTCCTCTCTGGTTTCTTTGACATGAGTTAGTAAATGACTGAAGATAAGATACGGTAGATCCACTTTGACATTCTTACTAATGCAGTACATGAAATACAGATGTTCCGAACTCACATAGTCTGGTGAGTTGGATGGTTTTCTGTGAAAAAATGTACTCATAAAGATTTTTGCCCAGATCCTATAAATGGGTTTCAAATCTTTAACCTTACTTGACGGCATTCCAGCTATAGTAACTTCTTCATAAACCCTAGCCATATCAATGCGAGAAGAAGCAAGATTTAAGACTCCATCAGATTCAGTATAACTGAACAGTTGTCTGATCAGTTTTTCAGTAATAACTATCTCCATTCCAAGAACCGAGGAATGAATAAACTTGGGACCAGCGCTTGCATGAATCCAAAATTCCTTTACCAGTGAAGGAAATACAGGACCCATTAGCCTTTCAAAGTATTTTTCCCAACCTTGAGCTTTAATGGCAGAAATGAGGTCGAACCCATTTTCCTTTAACGAATCAAGATCAATGAAGCTTTCACAGAGCACCTCCAGATCAGCCACTGGAGTGAATAAGGTTCGTTCAGGTTCTTTGTACATAATAGTTTTGTTGGGTTTTGCAGCAGTGTTTGAAGTAGACGCCATTGAAGAAGAAGAGGACCTTGGTTTAGGTTTAGGGTTTTGGTAGAGATTGAAAAGAAAGCAGAAACGCATGAATGAAGTGAATGTGGAAAGTGTGAAAATAGTGTGATAGGTGATATATATAGATAACCAAAAATCAAGCATAGGGCACACAAAAGACACTTACGCACGTTTGGACAGCATTTAATGAAAAATAATCATTTCACATTAAATTTATGACAGCTGGGGGAAAACCAAGAAAAATGAGATTTTCAAAGCAATACCTCAAACGTCAATTCAGTTGAGCACTCCATCTTTTCAGATATTGAGTGACACGTGTTTGCTTTGTTGGCGCATCTGATGTCTCTCAAGAAATGAAATGTTTCCAACTTTCAGATCTTCTGAGCTTGTTAGTTCAGAGTTTTACCCAAAAAAAAATAATTGAATATATATAATTAAACGAATAAACAGATGAAATACTTCAGATTATTAAACATTTTGCATCTGAGAGGTTGCCTCTGAGAAATATTACTCTGGACACTAATCCATACAAATATTTTTCAGAATGAACTTAAATCTATCTTCAGCAA